CATGAGACCAGAATAGTTTTCCAACCTCAGTTTAGAAGTAAATAGATTACTTAGGTAATTTTCCTGAGGCTGCCCACTGAAGCAAGACGCAAGATGAGAACTATACCTGGTCTTCCAAGTAAATATTGCACAGCCTCCCTTTCCTGAGGGCAGCATAAAGTGGATCAGAAAAGGGAAGAGGAGACTCAAGAGCTGACAACATTTAGGAAAGCAATTATGCAACTTTAGCTAGAAAAGACTCAAAAGATGACATGCAACTTTAAATGCAGCATTTTCAATAATACCTGTGCTTTTCAGTGCTGAAGTGAAACCTCGATTTCACAGACCAAGATACAGTCTGGCTGGAAATCTAGAGGGACTATTTTCTCTTAACAATTTAACCTCTGACCTCTTAGCTTGTGCCTTAAAGTTAAATCAGAGATAATCACACCTCTTCCATGTCCAACGCACAGAGGTGTTGCAAGGATTAATGAATAGTGTGTCTGGAGCTTCTTAAAGAAAAGAACTATTTGAATGCCAAGTATTATTACCAGATTTATAGTAAATATAATTATTCATCCATTTTCTTTTCCTGTTTCTCAGGATCAAATATAATATCTACCAGGCCTGTAAAAGGAAGAAATTCTTCCTTTGCCACTCTTGTTGGAGTGAAAGAAAGAGAAAAAAAAAAAAAGGAGGAAAGGAAGGTAGTTGTTATCCTTGCTCCTTCCCTCTGAAAATATTTGAAACCAGAGTTGATTTAATGACCATACATGGTTACATTAGCTACTGCTACTCTTTTGAGACTTACTTCTACAGAGTTAAGCTTGTTTTTTCTTGGACCATCTTAAGTAAGATAAGCACAGAGCCAGCCCCATGGGCATACAACCTGTGTGGTTGCACAGGACCCCACGCTCAGAAGGACTCCATGTTTGCCATCTTGAAACTCCTAATTTATTTTTGTACTTGTGTTTGGTAAGTGAAATCAGATGAGATAATGGAGTGTGTGCCAATGGCACACACTTGACTCACACACTGTCCAACATCCTGCCACCTTCCTGTCTTCCCTGGGCTGGTTCACCTAGTTATTATTTTGTTTTGTATTGTTTTCAGTGTTAAGGGTCAAACCTAGGGCCTTGTTAATGCTAAGCAAGTGCTCTACCACTAAGCTACATCCCCAGTCTTAGGTTTCTACCATCCTCTTCCTTTGATCCCTGGCACCCCAAGACTCTTCCAGCCTCCTTCCTCCTGCCCCCATGCATGATCACTGCTTCTCTCCATCCCCACCAGGTCTCTGGGTGCAAGTACAGGGAGGATCTGATTTGGTCACATGTGCCTTGCAAAGTATAAAGTGTGGGTATGGCTGTAGTTGTTCCTGCCCTGGGCTGGTAAGGCTGTAATGCGGTAGACAGAGACCATGTCTTGGTGGGAATAAGCCTTTTGCTTACCTCTGATTCAGGTAACTAGCACATCCCAGAAAAGAATTTGGGGGTACTCATAAGGATACACATAATACCTTAAGGATTTTTCTGCTGTGGAGGGCCCACCTCTCGCTGGGGCATAGCAGTCTGGCAACTGGCAAGACAGGTACCCGGTAGTTGGTAAGCTGTATGTATGTATGCCCTAAGTTGTAACAGGCAAAGCCTTTGGTCTCCTGGGAGTGTCTGTACTCACCTCACAATATGCCAATGCCTGAAAGAATATGACATTAAGTAAAACTCATGAAGCCATTCATTAATTGTGACAAGCATACCATAAGATGTGAGATGTCAACAATGGATAAACCAGGATGTAGAGTAAGTGGAAAACCTTCTACATTATCTTTGCAACTTTTCAGCCAGTGTAAAAGTATTTTAAAATTGGAAATTTGGGGGTAGAGAGAACCCCAACATGACAGAAGAAAGGAAGAAACATCATCACTAGTACCTCTAACAGCACTTTTTCCTGCTTTAGGAACAAGGGTCCCTGCACTTTCAATTGCACATTGAGTCCTGCAAATGATGCTGCAATTCTTACTGTAATATCCCTTGTTGAATATGCAGCTCTTCCTTCCAATTCCTCTTCCTGTTCTTCTTTACTCTCAGTGCTAGGCCTTTGAGTTTCTTTGAGTATCATTAATAATTACTTGTATGTATCGATCACCTACTAAGAACTGGCTACTCTACTAGGCACTTTATATATTTTATCTCATTTAATCCCTTTATAACTTCATAGGATAAATATTCTTTTTTCGTATGTTATAGATGTAGGAAGTTGAGATGTAGTATCATACAATAACTGGTAGAAGAGAAAGTCAATATTTCTGATTGTTACTTCAAAGCTGGTGCTTTTTATGTAGTAATTGCCGAAGTGCTGTTCTGCCTCCAGATACCCAAGGCTTGGCAGGCAGCTTGGGCAGGCACTTTGGTTTCCATTTCTCCAAGTATTTCCTGGGTGTCTAGGGGACCAAACACTGGTGTGGTGCCAGAGTTGCAAAGTTGCAGCATGGAGGCCAGCCCTAAGCTGCAATGGTCACTTTCTTTGGTTGTGTCCAAGAAGGCATTTCAGGCCTCCTACCTCATATATAGTCCATTTTTTAAAAATATGTATTTTTTTAGTTGTAGGTGGACACAATACCTTTATTTTATTTTTTTCTGATGCTGAGGATCGAACCCAGTGCTTCACACATGCCAGATGAGTGCTCTACCACTGAGCCACAGCCACAGCCCAATCTTATGCCTGTGCCTCCTACCTTAGTTAGCAGCTATGATAAATGATAAGGCAGTCTTGACTGTGGATGAAGACTTTGGAAAGTGACAAGTCTAACTACATAACTTCAAAATATAATAATTTTTTGCTGAAAAAAAATATTGTGGTTGACCTGAAGAATAGAGGGCCATGGTGCAAAATTCTTTGGCATCTATCAGCCAGTCCCACACCTCATTTTGGACCAAGTCTGGAAGCACAGTACTTATGCGCTTATGCTGTCATGGCCACAAATGAGCTGCTGGTATGCTGGTATACCTAATCATTATGTCTTTGAAGAGTGCTCCTCTGTTTTCAGAGCTTCTGCTGGTATACTTACTATGTTTTCTATGTGGTTAGAGTAGAATGATTTTTCCTTTTTCCTCTTCATGAAGGAGAACCATGCTATATCATCTTACAGTTGTTTTGCATACAAGACAGTAAAGCCCAAGGCATTGGGAGATGGTTGCACTTTTTATTTTGTTAGAGGGAATGGGGTCGGGAAGGCTCTTTACCTTTGGGTAAGGTTCGTTGGAAGAAGTGCTCGTCTGGAAGTAAACCCAGGAGGCAAGGGGGTGTTTGGGGACACATTATAGAGTGAGGAAAATCTTCATGATGAGGCAGTATTGCAAAAGAGAAGAAGAAAGCCATTAAAAGCATTTTATTAAAAACACCTCAATTCTTGTCTACACATTTTTGAGGAGTGTGAAAAAAATGGAGGAAGTTACGTCTGGTGGTTTTGTGGCTTTTCAAGTATGACATACAGGATATTGAATTTTAACCCCTCTTTATCCTGAAGTGTACCAGTATAAGGGGAATAAACAAAGAAAGGATTCTTTGAAATGTGCATCTGTGGCCAATTGATTCCATTCACTTGGAATTACACTTCTGTTTACTCCCTTTCTGTCTCAAGTACTGGAGTGCCACACACACAAAATTATTCAGATAAAAATAAAAAGCTATGTGGTCTCACTAGGATTTCTGTATAATTGTATAAGAAATGTGCTCTAAATCGGACATGAATGTTATATTGGGACTCCAAAATAAATTTCTTATTTTATTAGTGCCTATTGTGTGCATTCCAGAAAGCTCAGCAGGACGAATGGATGTCACTTCCCTCAAAAATGTTCAAGAAGTGGGAAAGTCCGACTGCTTTTTATAACTGCCTGTAGCTTCATTAATTCATCTAGGATTATAAAATTAATTTAGTGTTTATTCACATAGGTTTCTTAAGTCAATAACCTGAAGTATTTGTTCAGACCCACAAATCTTTGGATATGGAATGACATGCGGTGAATTAGTAAAAAAGTTTTAATTGTCCAGCAAAAGTGATCTTGAAAACAGTATTTTTTTGTATGAAACACTTAGAAATATTCCCAGAAATTCTCGCTTCAAATCAGAGCCCACAAATCAGAGCCCCCAGCTTTAATTAAAATGAAAATCTACAGCGTTCACATCTGGCTCCACCTGAAAGTCCGGTTCAGAATTTCCCTGTGACCCTGGCACTTGCAGGAGGGAAGTTTTACTTTGTTTAGTATAACAAGAGCTGCAGGGCTCCCAGGCCAATAAACGTGTTCACGTAAAAACTCCAGACTGTTTCTCCTAGACTGGAGTCTTATCAGGGAGACCTCACTTTGCCTTTAGTTAAAGGTGAGATTCAGGAGCAGCGAACGCCCCTTTATCTGTGCAGGTCAGTGTTTGCTGAATCCACCGTTATTCCAACACCAACACATTCCCAGAATGAATGACGATGTAGCAGAACGTAGTGGTCAAAGGGTTCTCCCCCAGCTTTCCAATGTCGGTTCCATTTAGAAGAAAAGCAAAATGAGGAAAAGCTTTCCTCATTTCTCCTCTGTGACTGCAAACACTCAGAAATGACCTCACATATCCTAAAGAGCCCCGGGAATGACTAAGGCAGAGAGAGCCTGAGAAAAGTCTTCCCTTCAGTCTGCCTTTAGTTTTAGGGCACATGTATGCAGATGAGCGTGTAAGAGACTGTTCCCCCGCCTTCTTCCTCAGAGGAAGTTTCTTGGTAGATCACTGACACCTCATCCAGGCGGGGGCTGGGGGGGGGGGAGGCAGGAGTTGAGAACTTGGCACCAGCCGTCTGGGGCAGAGCACCACGGTGATTTGTTCTCCTGGTGGAGAGAGCTGGAAGGAAGGAGTCCGCAAGCAAATAATGAAGGAGCAAGGGGGCACCTTCAGCAGCACGGCGATCAGCAGTGGCAGCGTTGACTCTGCTATGGACAGCCTGCAGCCGCTCCAGCCTAACTACATGTCTGTGTGTTTGTTTGCAGAAGAATCTTATCAAAAATTAGCAATGGAAACGCTGGAGGAACTAGACTGGTGCTTAGACCAGCTAGAGACCATACAGACCTACCGCTCTGTCAGTGAGATGGCTTCTAACAAGGTAAGCGACCACCACCGTCTTCTTCTACGTTAAAGTATGACCTGCTCCCTCCGGAGCTCTGGCTCCCTGAGCCTGGGTCTGCAGCAGCATGTAGCAGACCGCACAAGCGACTGTTAAGACTGCTGAGCTCTCAGGAGACTGTTCCGAAGGGCTACACTTTATGTCTCCGTGCTATATAGCAAAAGTGTAGCTTTGTTACCAGAAACCAAGCTTCTCTAACTGATGCAGTTCAGAATATGTTAAAGGCAAAGGATATGTCTTCCAAGCTAGTATACAAATGACAATGCTTCCTTTTTAAAAATTTTACCATCATCAGAAAACTAAAATCTGAGTCAGAGTCCACAGGGCTGCACTGCAGTAAGGTGAAAAAACAAATATATATATATGAAATTAATTAATTAGTAAATTAATTCAACCTCCTTACATGGATGGGACACAATGATTTGCCCTTAAATTTGGTAAATTCCTTCTAAGAAAGACAGTGGGAGACATTCTAATGTTTCTTTTGTGATGCTGACATGACCTAAGATAAAAAAGTAACAATATACCTTGTTGTCAAAGACAGAGAGTTTTTTTAAAAGTTTGCTGATCTTCAAAGTGGAATCCTTTGAAATTAAGGTCTACCCATACTGCCAAAAAATGGATTTATTTACCAACTCCAGACAAAACATAGTTTTGAAAAGCTTTAATTTTCTATCATTATATCATTTGTTTAATTAACACCTGGACTTAGGGTGCTAATTTATGTAGGTTATATAGTGAGAGTTGTTGCTTGTTGTTTGTATTTTTACCCTCTTGGAGAATGCTGGCGCTGTCTCGCTCATACATACACACACACACACACACACACACACACACACACACACA